TGTTTTTCTGATCTTAAAATAATACTTACTCATTACTGAGAATTTACAAAACACAAGCATCGGACCTCATCCAGATCCAGCATCCCTCCCCCTTACAGTCAGCAACTGTCAGCTGCCCGATGTGTGTGTCCTTGTTCCCTCTCCGTGGATAGAAACCTCCACAGAGAACTTTTCAGAGAGTCTAAAGGCAACGCATGTTGATGGCGGAAAATGTGGGAGATACAGAAATATCTCTGAATCTCACCGCTTGGAGATCGTCCTGGAGAATGTCCCTCCAGTCATCTTTCTCGTCTGCAGCTTTGTAACGTGACTGGCCTCGTGGTTCAAATATCCTCATGATAGCCAAAGCACATTCTTTTATCCCAGAGGAAGGTGACATCCAGTGACAGGACATTAATCACGATGCATTGAAAACCCTACTGAGGCTTAAAGAGGCAAAAAAAAAAAATAGTAATAATATTCTTGTTTCTTGGCATTTAAAAAATGGCGAGAGGAGGAAGCTCAAATTATCTGAAGTCTTGGGGGAGCCTAGTTGGGGCCCAGGGCCATCTTGTTCTAAATGCTAGGCCCTGATTCATTTCTTTTCCCCATATGAGGCTCCTGTGGAGTAAGAACAAGTGCCTCTAGGGAAGGGAGAGCCAGGGGAATGTAGCTCTTGTATAAGCCTGAGCACCAGTCCCTCTGTGCCTTCTTGTAGCACCCATCTGGCAGGCATCTGGTGGGGCACCACAGTAAGATGTGGAGGACGTATACGCCTGACCTCTGGTGCCCAGACTGAACCAGCAAGAAGATGCGGCAACCGCAGCTCAGGGCACGAAGAGTTGCATCCAGAATATGAAATGAGCCATTCCACACCAAGTCCCCGAACTCTGTCTTGCACATGGGGAGTACTGGGTAAAGGGGCTACTGTCACCTGCAGGGACAAAGGCCCAGGGAATGAAAGTGCTCCACAGGCTCCCCCGGGCTAACTGGCTCTCTCTCTCTCTCTCTCTCTCTCTCTCTCTCTCTC